ATATAATATTAATTTTTAATTTATGAAATTATTTATCTAAATGCTTTTATCTTATATTGAAAGAAGATGAATCAATTTTAAATCAAAACCAAAAAATTCTTTTGAAACTAAAATATTTCTCATCTTTGAGCTATAAAGTACAAAATGCCAGTTGATTCAATATTTCTTAATTAAATTTACTCAAAATTTTCATAATACCTTTTTATACATGAAATTAAGAAAAATTCTTATAAGTCTTATAATACTTCTAAATTTGAATTTAAGAATAGTCATTACTTTCTCAAAAAACTCTTATATGTTTTTAGAAAGTGAAGTACAATTACACAATCTTTAAGCTCATCATAATTTTCTTGTAGCAAGATATTTTAAACATAATAAGATTTTAGAATTAATCTCAAAAAATAATTGGTTGCTTCAACTATAAAAGGTAGTGAAAGATTTTATACAATCATGTGATATTTTTTTAAGATCTAAGATTTCTTGTTCTTAATCTTAAAAATTTCTTTAACCTTTACCTTCACTAGATTAACCATGGTATTTTTTATCTATGTCTTTAGCTATAAATTTATTAATTTTAATCTTTTATAATTCTATTTTTATCATAGTAGATTGCATAATCAAGATAGCATATTTTGTAACGTATCAAAACTATCATAGGTGAAGTAACAACAATGGCTTTTTCTTAATAACATGTATTGCTATTGTATGCTATTAAAAAATATTATATAAGTCAAAAGGACTCAGTTTGTTAGCTTATATCAATTTTATTTCTATTAAAAAATTGATAATTTAGAAATTATTAAAATAAAATTTATATTTTATGTATAAATTATAAATAAATAAATAAATAATTAATTAATTTTTTATTATAATAAATAGATAATTTAAATAAATGTAGGCAAAAAAAGCTTGTGTTACTTAGTCAAATACAACAAATATATTCTTGCATATATAATTAAAATAAATATATTAAAAATTGATAGTAAAATAAAACTATATGTTTTTTAAAAAATAAAGATTTATCTAATCAGGATAAAAAATTTATTTTTTTTAATAATAAAATAGTAGTTAGAGTAATATATGATGTAATAAACATCTATATATATATATATATATATATATATATATATATATGAATCCATTGTATTATAAAAAAATTAATTAAAATATCTAAAATTTTGCCTATATTTATTTAAATATATAAAATAAATTTAAAAATTAAAAGTTAAAAATATCAGGTTTTACAATATAAGATGAAGAATTTTAAAAAATTAGGGTCTAAAGTTTAGAAATTTAGAAAACTTAGATTAGTGGATAGGACAAGTGTAGATTAGATATGATCTTATATTTCATAAGTTAAAAGATAGAAGATGTTGTTGTATATATAAAGATTATTATATACAAAATATCCATCATAAACTATGAAATTTAAAAAAAATCAAATACACAATCAATACATTTTAAAGTGTCTTCTTTAGTTGATTAAAAGTCCTTTGATTCAACTAGGATAATAAAACACACATGATTTTAGATGAATGCCACAATAATGTTATTGCAAAATTATATTTATTCCATCCAATATTGTATTAAGTAGACCACCAAAATGTGTGGCAAACATAAAAGGATGAATCTTCAATCTTTGTCAACAGATGATGCATGGCTAAATCACCTTTGAAAAATCTCTACAATTGAAATCAATAATCTTGACTATAAATGCAAGTAAATCTTAAAGTATTCCTATATTGAGCAATAGATAAGTTCTTTATAGCTATAGGCATAGCCCTCTATCACAAATATACTTAATTATGTAAATAAAAAGTATAAGAGAGAAGATATATATAAGTAAATTTGATAATATCTTGTGGTGAAGCTTTATAGATATGGATTTCATTTTATATGTGTTTGTAGTTGATTGATAGGTTAGATACTTGGCCAACAAGTTAGTCATGTGTCGTACATGTTCGTGGCTTATAATATAAGTTTATCATGTAGTACACATGTAAAAAACTTATTTTGTAAGTCAAACATATGACTCACAAATTGGACAAGTATTTGAATTCCTATAAAATATTGTTACTTAGCTCTTAGTTAGATGTATACATGGAGGCAAGAGTAAAGACTTCTTTACTCTTGTCAATATCTTTCTTATTCTTAGTTTAATTTGAAGAGTCTTTAGTTTTTAGTTTTTAATTTTGTTTTATTTTTTTTAATCAATAACCACTCTAGTTCTAATACTATACTACTTTTGAGTTAATATCTGCTCTTTTTGAGTGACAAAAGAGTATATTGAGGTTTTTATTGATTAAGATTTATTACCTTGATAGCTTGATAAAAGTACTTATTTATTATTCTTGTTTTATTTAAGAATTAAGTGGATTAATCTAATTTATTTGGTAGGCTTTGTGTATTTATTTTTAATATTAATATTATAAATAATAAAATTTAATAACTAATTATATATAAATATATTTAAATTATATTTAATTTTGATAAATTCTTCAAGTAAAAGGTCTTTCACATTTTCATCTATATTAATAGATAAAAAGTTCTTATAGAAATAATCTTCAAATAACTATTTGTAATTTTTTAATCTAATTTTAGATTTTTATACTAATTAATATTGATTTTCAATTCTAAAATTAGTAAATTATTCTTATACTGATTTTTATAAGAATCTAATCTCTTTATAATAATATCATTTCATACTATCAAATTTTGGTTTAATTAGTTTAAATTTTATTTTATAAAAATGATTTTAATTTTTTTGATATTTTTGAAAAAAATATAACCAATAAAATTTTATAAATTTATATTTAAGAATTTAATACCTATAAAACAATTAAGAACAAAAAAATTTTAGACTTTTCTTTTCTTTTTCTTTTTTTTTTTTTACATATTTAAGAGTTTAAAAATGTAGAAAATTTCTATTTTTTTCAAAAAAATTATTCAAAACTATTGTCATTTATATACTTAAAAGATAAAAGAATGCATCAAAGAACATCTATAAATATTTGTAGTTGTATAAAAATATTCTTTTCTTTTATAAAAAATGCAAGATTAAGATGTATCTTCATATTGCAATTTGTAGCATGATAAAAGTGTTGCATTGTTTCTTATTCTTGTGATCATTATAATACCAGTTTAGTGTTCAATTTTAAAATTATAGATATTTACTAATTTAATTTTTATTGTTAGATTCAAATTTATTTTATAATATATTAATAAAATAGAAATAAATAAGCATAAATTAGTTTGTGGTGTTTCTATAATTAAAATTTTTATTTTTAATAATTCAAAATATATGTATGATAAGATAATATCATATTATTATTTTTTACTAAATAAATATTTTTATATCAAAATTATTAAAAATTGTTCCAAATAATAATTATGTTTATATTTATATTTAAATACCAAAGTATATTAAAAAAAAGAATTGCATTTCAAATTTCTAATTGTTTCATATTACTTTTGGTTTGTATTGAATAAATAATTTTAGTGCATGGACATCCTTTAATGCTACATCAACAATATACTACTGCTACAATTGTTTTAACAAACTAGATAGTAACAAGATTTCAAAGTATAAAAAAAACAACAATAAAAACAACATCAATCCACAACATAGAAACATTAGCAATACATAAGCTAAACATAGCAAATTAATAAATGGAGGTATCTACATAGTTGATCTCCTAAGTAGACATCTCTCTTGTATTGTTTGTTTTATTTGCTTTGATTAACTTTTGTATTACTAATGCTTATGTGTTGTAGTTAAATTATAAAATAATACGGTTTATATATATATATATATTGATTTTACACCTCTTAGCTTCATTAGTATCAAACTTGTTGAAAATGTAGTAGCAATGGTGTATTGTTGGTGTGGCATTGAGAGGTGTCTACATGAGAAAAAGGAGGTATCCACCTAGTGGTTCCCTATTATTGTTACTCTGATACTATCATACTATAACACTTAGTAATCTTTTCAAATTATATTTAAAAGAAAAAACTTTAAAATTTACAAAAAATACCAAATATTTCATAAAAAATTACATCTAATTCTTTTCATGTCTTAGTCCAAGAAAATTTTTTACGAGCTAAATATACACATTATATAAAGATTTTTTTTGTTGTTGTTTATTTTTATTTTTTATTTTTTTTCTAAATGGACATTTATAATACTTCAAATTTAAAATTATCTCAAAATAAATCTTTATAAAAGAATTCAAATATACTTTTGAGGTCGATGTAGAGGAATGTTAAATAGACCCAAGTTTTTACTAAATCAACCTACCCATGATATAAAAATATGATAATCATGATGAATGTGGTTGATTTTCATTGGTTTTAGATCCAATAGTAGAGAAATGAATCAAGATGTCAATTTTTTTTTTCATGATGGTTAAGATGGGTGGATCAATTTAATAAAAACTTGGGTCTATTTAACATTCCCTTTACTTTATTATTTGTCAAATGAAATGTGTTTTGGCTTGAACAAGTTACAATCTGCATAAATATGCTCCATTTAGAAATACAAGTACTCTTACAACAGTTTGTTGTACAGGTTTAGATTTAATGACACATAGTGAAACCAACTAAAAACACACATACACAGACAGATATATATATTTATATATATATATATATATATATCTATTAAGACATTGGTAATATTCAAATTAATAAATAGACAAAAATACAGTTTTTTTTTTTTTTGTTAGGTCAAAAGATCTATTTCGTGTTTAATAAATTTAAATAACAAAACCCAATAAATCTACTTGAGTTTAAGAAGAAATCTACTTAATTTCTTCAAAAATTCTCAGATCTAACTAATCAATATCATTATTATGGAATGGCTTCATAACAGGTGTCATCCTTGTACATGAAAATGGCTATAACTTTGCATGCAGTATTTAGGAATCTAATAAATTAATTAACTCTTACATAAAAACATTAAAAGGAATAGAAATAATTTCATCATGCTTTTGTGTAAAATCTCGAGTAATTAGATATGTTTGAATAATCTCATAATTTACCAGACTTCAATCACAATTTGTTGCTTTTCTACGCATCTGAAAAATCAACTCTAGAAACATCCACACTGAAAATAATGGACGCATACTGAGAGGGATTGGCAGAAACCTTTTTTTTTCAGATGGGTCTCTTTTTGCGATCCCTTGCACGATGTTCACTTAAATATCTTACATGTATTGGGACTCCAGCTCCTGTTTTATGGCTCTCAGCCGACCTAAAACACTCGGTTGGATCAGCTTCCGAGCTTCTTTCAATAAAGCACCTTTTCTGTTCGTATCGACAGCATCAAGAAGATTCTGAATAGTCATAAGCAATGCCTCCGGGGTCCTGCAGCCCAACGATGTATTTTTTCAAATTCCTGCATAGGATTTGATCAAAGACGAGCAGACAACAAGCATTACTATCCAATTGGAATCTACTTCGTTTACGAGGACGATAACAACTATATGAACAAATGATGGAACCACGTAATTCAGAAAAGGTCAAATGAGAAAAGGACCATGGCACATTGTAAGAGATGAGTTTAGTGAAGGGATTCTCACGTGTAAAGTTGGTCAACATCTTTTCCTTCCATTTCAAGGCCAGGAATAAAGGCATTTCTCATTTCTGCAGATCTTTCAGCAAGATCATTGATGCTAAGGAGGTAACGCAATATTCGAACTTCTTTGGGCACTAAGCGGGACATGTTACCTCTAGCAGCATTATAAAGTTGGAGCATGACGTCCTTAGCCTGCCAGGTAGCGCAGAAGTATATATTTATCAGCGCTCAGTGAGTAAAAGACCTTGAAATGAATAACATTCAAAGAAAAGTACCACAGGATTTGGTTTTGAAGAACAGATATGAAACCACTTTACAATTATCCCAACTAAATCACAGTAACTGATTAGAGCATAATTAAGTTGCCAATCAACGGATCAAGTTTCACCACCACAATATTTACACAATCTAAAAAGAGTCATTCAACCAGGCATCCAGCAAGACAATTCGTGAAATGACTCGGGCTTAGTGAGATAGCTAGTAGAGAAGGTATGTTCCACCTCCTCTTTCATGAGAGTAGATTCCTTTGATGCAGCATAGGCCTTTGACAAGAGAAGCATAAGCGAAGAATCCAGCTCGCCTTTTTTAGCAAGATTCTCTATTTTCTTAGTTGCTATTTCTATAGAAGGTGATTTTACGATGTCATCAAATTTCATTTGTGCTGCACTTAATGACATGAAGTCCTTGGAATTCTTGTCGTACTCTTGAACAGTTGCCACGCACTTCTTCGCGATAGCGGACAGTTCTGTGATAGACAAGATATACTATCATTGACAGATGTTGATCTCCTAACATTAAAGATGACGAAAGACTGACGAGCAGGTCTAAACTATAAAAATCATATGAATAGAAAGGAGATAATCCAGTATTTATAGAGGATAAAACCAGAATGGCGTATTGCACATGTAAACTATCATCAAATGCATAACCATGAAACCTGATAGCTAATAAAAATTAAACACATGATAATATCGTACCTTCCCTACGATTCTGATCATCAAAGCTTGAATGAATGAGTATTCGAAGGTGCTCGAAGAAATGATCAGTGAAATCTTTTCTTTGGCGAGCTACAATGGCATCTAATTTCGTAGGAGACTCCTCAATTAAAGCAAGAAGTTTATTGTGCTGCTGCATATCTTCATCCAACTGCACGCGAGGCACCATCATCCTTCAAGTTATTTCACATGATAGACAGCAGAAAATGAACGAATTTCTTAATCAATGCGAAGATAGAGAATCAGAGACCATTGTGGCATAAATGACATACATCCTTCAAACGCCTCGTAAGTTTGAGCAGGTTAGTCCTTCTCTGAGGATCTTCTGTCTGAGCAGCCTGGACTTTGCAGCGGCTGAAAAAATGAGGTCTAATATTCGGCCATTCTTTACTTACAGCTAGATAAATATGCCACTCTTCCGGATTGTTCTTCTCCACTAGAAAAACATCTATTAATTTATCACAAATACGATTTATTCTACTGGACTCAGCCTCTTCTTGAGCTTCACGAGAGGCTAGGCCGTCCATGCCCTCGTTGGAGCTCCTTGTGTGCGTGAAGTCAGCTTCACTTTTGTAGCTATTCTCATCTACTGTCACCTGAATCACCACATCACTAAAAAGTCAAAAATATCAGAAAAGATCAGGAAAACCCCCTCTCAAATTTAACACAGTTGAAATCAATTGATCAAATGACAATACATCCCAACACACAAGTGCTTACAGCAGACACTCTGCTGTTTACCAGTTTAAATAAATGTCCCAAAAACACTAGTTGAGATTGAATCCTAGTAAAAATACTAGGGGTTATCTCCTCCTGTACACCCAGAGCATCTTCATGAGATAATTCTGCCACGTTACCGATCCGTTCATACGATCAACGACTACAGCTTAAAGATCATATGAATCCAAACTCACTCAACAGGTTGTCTGAAATTTCGAAAGCAGCACGTAATATATGCGACCTGAGTTGTTCAGTTGCCTTGCATCCCAAGGCATTTTACAGATAAGAGCTCCTTTAAAGACAACTTCTCAAGGCTTCGAAATGTACGAAAAAACGCTGCTCAAGGGTCCCAGGCAAAAAATACAGTAAGGAAGCGGAAAATGGGTCGACCTAGGGTTTATCCACCAAAACATTGACTTTCGAACCTACTCATTTCGCCTGAAATCAAAGACCACTTTCAAGAACAAGCTTGCAAGAAGCTCGTCTTGACCTGACACACTCCTAACAATACCTGAATTTCAAAATAAGGCTCCAAGACTACATGCCCCTCTAAACGACAACAATTTAGATTGGCATTAAGCCCCCAGCGCGACAGAAAACGCCTGTTTCGAATGACGCGGAAGTGAAGCTCGAAAAAATCGATCGGCGTAAAATGAACAACATGTAGGATATAATTTGTCAACGAAATATTTCCCGAATCTATAACAAGGATAAATATGGGCATCAAAATCAATGATGGGTATCTAACAGGATACTCTGAGGAGCATAAAAAAGCCAGCTTCACTTTCAATTCCAGCTTTCGCAGAGCCATTTCAGACACCGTGCTTGGTTATTTGAACACGACACCCGAATACCACTCTACGAACCTAAAAATAAACAAAACCCATTGCACCGCTACTGGTTAAATAAGGGGGCCAAGATAGAAATTTGAGAGTACACTGAACGTTTTTGGCGTCCTAAATTTGCAACATGCTACTCATTCGTTGAAATACCAAGTTAACCACCGCTCCTGCAAAACAGACAAGACGATGCACGAGTTTTCAATAAGAGACTACACACGTGAAAGGAGAAAGCGATCAACACGCACGAACCTGTGTTGTGCGAGCTTGCTGACCACTTCTCGATTTCCTTCCGCTTCCAGTAAATCCAACCGCAACGACCACCACGTCTCTTCTTCGAGCTGCATTCATCCTCAAGCCTGCTGGAGCCCCACGCGCACTCCAAGCCATCCGACAAAAATCATTGAAGCTCCCGAGTCTCCCCGAATTCACGAGCTCCGGAACCAACCCTGCCCTCACAGCGGGCGCACTCGCTACAGCCATGGACGGCACACGGATTGCCATAGCTCTTCCTCGACCCCAAACCCCGCCACTCAGTCTCAAAACCTCCGCTCCCTCTCTCCCCTCAGCATATCCAGAGCCTGTGACAACAAGTTTCAGCTCAAGCTCACTTCCCAGGGTATGTGCCTACTTTCCGGGACATATATATCTCAGGAAGGTACATACCCCTTCACATATCCAGGTATCAAGTCGTTGGATTGCTTGTTTATTTGTACACTGTGAATGTTTTCAATATCGTCAAATTAAAAGACACAAATATTTGAAAACATAAGTATAAAAACGAATAGTAACAAGTACCCACAAAATACCATGCTAAATTTTTGTAGTAAAAAAATTCAATTTGCAATTAAAAATTAAAGGCAGATTATGTGTGATGACAATACAGACCGAACACAATACAAGGAACAAAATAAATCTTGAATATATAATCGAATTTGTTCAAAAAATATCGCAGATTGAACATTTCAATATCACCTAAGTATCACAATGGCCAGCAACTCTTTTTGAAACTGATGCTCCTATCATGCAGAAATTGCTCAGTTTTTCCAATAGGAATTAAATCCTTCAAGGGAGAATGTGGACACGGAGAAGAATATAAAGGAACGAATTTGACAGAAAGATGTTGAGAGCATGGAGTTTCATGGCTTGCGATCTAGCCAACCCCCCCTCATCATCATCACCATGCCACACCGATCGCATGGCTTGCGAGCACAACGCTGGTTGCGAGCACAACGCCCGAGTCATGCATCGTGTAGCACAGCCAGGGACTGAGACCGACAAGGCGGAATCCAGAAAGAGAGTTTTAGCCATTCCCCCCCCCCCCCCCCCCCCCGGGTAAGATTGCCCCACCCCCGGTCCAGCATCGCTGCTCTTCAACAATCTCCACGCGCTCACGGAATCGCATACCTGCAGCCCCTCCCCGCCGTCCCACGCCGGATAACTCGCGCTATACCTCCCTTCCGTGCCCAAAAATGCTACCTGTTTACCGAGCATTTCCCTTCGAGTTGCGGTTAGATCGTGAGAAAGTTTGTTGTTGTGTTTCGAGGAGTTGACGATCCGCGGAGAAAAGGAGATGCTACGTTAGGGTAAGCAGAAGTGCGAAGTTGGGTTAAAGACGACAGGGAAAGATAGCGCGTTAAAAAGAAATCTATGATGGTTACTACCGCTGAGTGGGAAGGGTTTTGAAATTGGGCGTTGGCAGCTTTGAGAACGTTGTGTCGTGAATTGTGTAGGATTGATTTGAAGGTTGTGAATAGAGCAGGCCGGGTGAGGGGCAAGATGTGGACCATGGGACGGTGCGGGTGCCGAGCGGTGGCCATGGTGGTGTTGCTGCTGCTGGCCGTGCCCGCGTGGAGTACGTTTGTTGTGGAGGAGTCGGCTTTGATGGTCACTTCGCCGGAGAGTTTGAAGGGGAAGCATCAGAGCGCTATCGGCAACTTCGGAGTGCCGCAATATGGCGGCACCCTCAGCGGCACCGTGTCGTACCCGAGCGTGAATTCGAAGGCGTGCGAAGCATTTCCGACGGATCAGTTCAAGTCCGTGCCTGGGCAGCGGCCCGTCTTTGCGCTGGTTGATCGCGGAGGTAAAGTCGCTATCTTTACTCTTACTCTTGTGAGATTTGCAAATTATGTCCTTCTGATCATCCGCCCGAGGAATCGAGCAACGTGATAGGAATGTCTTCCCAGACCTTCTAGGCGTGTCTGGTTCGGCAGTGGGTGGCATTGGTTCGATTTGGTTTGCGCACTCGTGGCGTCCGGGCGTGAAGTTGGGATGAAATCGAAGCCCAGTGAGTGCGTAGTATGAGTCGAAGTCCGCTGTGTTTGGGCGTGTGGTCCATTTGAATCATCGTGAGGGAAGTGTCGATTGGGTGGTGATTGGGGGATTCCGCCTTCCACTGTGGAAATATTTCCAGCGGGAATGTCCGCAAGATGGTCAGTAGCGCGGCGTGTGTGGGATGACACGCGCTGTCCGATTCTGGTAGGCCATGCAAAGGCCAACGCACGCGGCGAGGAGGATGCGATCTGTTTTAGATACTTGGCGCCCCCTTGAGATTTGGCGGCCTGTGTCGTAGAGTGGATGGGAATTTGAGGTTTTGACGGGATGCTGAGGACGTTCGTGGAGTGCGGGCAGAGGTGAAGACACAACGTGGGTGCACTTTGTCGCATTGGTATAGGCGTGCAAGAGGTGGCAGGGGTTGTAGATTTGAGTAGCCGGCGTGGATCGGCGAGGAGTGGGGAATCATCGGAAACAGTGTTGCCGAGGGCACGGCAAGGTCTGTAGAAGAGTTCGGTTATAGGTAGTTTGGGGTCGGCGTCGCAAATGGATTGCAGCCGGTGCCGCGGAGCTGCAGAGAATGTGAATGCGGCGTGGTGGAGGCACACAATGAGTGAAAGGCGCGTGGTTCACTTTACGTATCCCCCATCTTGAGGTGGCGGGTTTCCGTGGAAATGGTGCAGATGCGTGATAATAGTTGAGTCGTTGATTTGGATGGCATAGTTTACTCAGGCGAGAGATGGAATCTGGGTGGGTGCAGATTGTTACTTCGCGACGAAAGTGTGGTACGCGCAGCAGGCGGGAGCGGCGGCGGTGCTGGTGGCAGACAACAAGCAGGAGAAGCTGATAACGATGGATTCTCCGGAGGAGGATCCCGCAGCATCGCAGTTCATCCAGAACATCACGATCCCGTCGGCTCTGATCACGAAGGACCTAGGGGACAGCTTGAAGAAGGCGCTGAGCGACAAGGAGATGGTGTCGATCAAACTCGACTGGCGTGAGTCACTTCCCCACCCGGACAAGCGCGTGGAGTACGAGTTCTGGACGAACAGCAACGACGAGTGCGGGCCGAAATGCGATGCGCAGGTGGAGTTCGTGCGGAATTACAAGGGAGTCGCTCAGATGCTGGAGCAGGGCGGCTACACGCAGTTCACCCCTCACTACATCACGTGGTACTGCCCGCAGGTAAGGCTGGTGTGTTTCCAGGTTTGTGGTGCGAAGTGGAGGAAGTGTGACGTGGGTGGGGTGGTCGATCGCAAGCCAGTGGTGCATAGGATGTGGAGCGGCGATGTGTGGGGGGACTGCGATCGTGGTATGATGAAACGTTGGGGAGCTAAGCATTGTGGGCGGTGGTCTGTGGTCAGGCTTTTATCGAGAGCAAGCAGTGCAAGTCGCAATGCATCAACAACGGGCGGTACTGTGCCCCGGATCCGGAACAGGATTTTTCGGTGGGGTACGATGGGAAGCAAGTGGTGATCGAGAACCTGCGACAGCTGTGCGTGTTCAAGGTGACGAACGACACCGGGAAGCCGTGGAAGTGGTGGGACTTTGTGACAGACTTCCAGATCCGGTGTCCGATGAAGGAGAAGAAGTATGGTCCGGAGTGCGCGGAAGAAGTGATCAAGTCTTTATGTAAAGTGTCTGGACCCGTTGTTTGTGGGCGGCGTGGGCTGCGGCCACGATGGGGAATGTGGGGGTGGCGCATTGTAGAGCTGAATAGGTTGGATGGGGTTTGTTGCTGCTGCAGCTTGGGTGGGTAGAAGTGGATATGGTGGACGCTTACCTGTGGTTTGTGGGATGCAGCCATTGACGTGGGTGCGGTGCAGAAGTGCATGGGCGACCCGAATGCAGACCAAGACCATCCGATTCTGAAGCACGAGCAAGATGCACAGGTTGTAGTGTGACCAGTTTTAGTGGGAGTTGGATGGCGGAGAGAGTGGAGAATGTGATGTGGCAGGATTGATGTAGTGTTATGTAGCGGTTATGTAGTGGCCCATGTTGGAGCGGAAACGTATAGAGTTAGAGCATTGATACGTGTTATTCGAATCTGGGTATGTTGTTGAAGATGTGTTGGATGGGTTGTGTGGCGGGCAGGTTGGGCAGGGCGATCGGGGTGACGTTACTATCCTGCCAACTCTGATAATCAACAACAGGCAATATCGAGGTAGGTGTTCCATCGAGTGTCGTTTAGCTATCGCTCTTGGCTGCTGTGGCTCTTGCTGCCATGTCGGGTGGTCGCATAGTGGTGTGAGGGGGTTTGTGGTATAGTGGAGTGGAAAGGTG